TCTTATATCCCTAAAGAAGTCAGTAGCATGTATTTATATTTGAAATCTCATAACTGTTTGTCAGTATAGGCAGCTAACTATTTAACACTTACAAGCTTGTGGGCCCAAATGAATCAGACCATACAGATTGGCCAGAAGCCTGCCTGAGATGTCTGGTCTAGATGCTGTCGGTGGCATTTTGTGTCTATCCAGTTTAATTTAGTTCTAGAAACATCAGCTGACCACATTATTCAGAGTGGCAGTCATTAGTCAAAAGAATAGAAATATGAAAATTAAAAATTAAAGATCTTGCATTGGACAGGGCAGGTTACAGCTGATTGCCAGCTGTTCTGAAAAATTCATCCCAGACCAGGAGCCACCAAGGCATTTGGAATTTCTCAGGAATGGATTTCCTCAGACATTATCATCCTCTCTGAGGTTGAACTCTGCATTTGTAGTCTGCAATTCAGAAAACCCTCTAGGTAGTTCTGGTTTCTGCTGAAGCTGGAGAGCTGGGTCTGCAAGGAGAATGAAGTGAAACACAGGCCGGCACCTGGGATGCACCGTGAAATGCCTTTATGCATTAACCTGAAGACTAAATCAGGGTCGGTCTGGTGAAGACCTAGGAGGGGCATTTGTGCAAGAGTGTGTGAAGTGTGTTATATTGAAAGATGCCGTGGGAACCGTCATCACTGAGGTTTGGAAATGTATCTAAGAGGCCTGTGTGGCTAAGGCTTTGTGCCCGGAGTGGCGCTACTGCGGAGGGTGAGACCTTTACAGGGTGACCCTGCTGACCAGATTTTCGTCTTTGGAGGTATGATCTTGAAGGGACTGTAGGATCCCAGCCCCTTCCAAATTCCTGCTTGCTTCTTGGTTATGGTGTGACTTCGTTGTGCTTTACCAAGACCCCCTACTGATGCCATCTGACACTAGAGGCCCCTGGACTGAACAAAACGGATCTTTACTCTTTGCGAATGAGTCCCTTTAGGCAGCTCCTGCAGTGACAGAAATCTGACTAACACGTAGTGGAAGATTAAGTTAATGTCAGGGCTTTGATTCCAGGCCAAGCAAGTTGGATCATATATTGTAGGCTGTCCCTGGAAACCACTCAGCAGGGAAGCATGGTGTCTGTGCTTCATGGGGGACAGTCATTCCGGCTGTCACATCACTTCTGGGTAGAGGCAACTCTCCTGGCACCTCACTGGCCTAGATTTTGATGCCTGCCTCTCCTGATATAACTTGGATCTGGGTCAGCAATTCCCGTCCTTGGCTAAGGGTTTTGGGAGGGGAGTCCCAAGACTTGGTCTGAAATAGCAACCCAGGGAGAATGTGCCTTTCTAAGGCTAGACGTTAGGTGATCCTTGTGTTCACAGCTATTGCAATGGTCTTTGTAACCCTGCTTTGAAGGTAGCCTATCGCTTTCTGCAGTAAAGGTGTGAAGTTTTTTTTTCCTTTTCCTTTTTTTTTTTTGTGGAAAAAGATTGTTATATTTTTCAGAGGTATACAGGGTCTAAAGAAGAAACAATTTGAACTCAAGGGCTGGAGAACACACGTGCATATCCAGCTCCAGTCAGGTTCTGTGGAGGCCTGGAAATGTGAGCCAGTTTCCACACTGACCACAGGTCAGAGAGCGTGGAACTTTCCTCTAGTTCCTTTAAGGTTATTGTGCTTCTACCTCAAAATGAAGGTCCCACCTAGTTGTTGCTCAGAGAGTTCTGTTCTCTCAAGCTTATGTCAACAGGTATGGCTAATTGCCAGATCCAGCACAATCTAGCTCTAGGAATAGAGAAGTAGATTTGTTCCTACCTTAAACGAAAGTCTAAGGATCCAATCAAGTTCCAGTTCCCTTTTTGGAGATAACTTGGGATTCCACCCAGGGAATCGTTTGCCTACAGAATGTTTTGGTCTAGGGTGTGAGCGTGACTTGTTTTGTTCTAGCAAGAGAATGTTTAACTATGAATTTAGCCTGCAACTTTCAATTTGTCTCTTCATTTCCTTATATCATGTTAATGCAGCCTTTTGCCTTACTCCTACCTTTTGGGGTCAGGAGTATTTGAAGCAGTTGGACATTAAATGCAGGTGAGTTTTCAGTGCACACTGGAACTCCCTCCCGAAACTATTCTGGGTTTCTCTGTTTAAATATTTTCATTCGTGTCTTCATGTTCTTTACTATATTTCTAAATCTCCATGCCCTTACCCTGGTGAGAGGTATTTTTAGTTCAGGCTGGTCCCCGACAGAGTTCATGTAAGGGTCTGAGTGTGGCCGAGGAGTTCTTCAGAGGTGAGGTGCAGTTCTGCCCTGTGGCAGGCCGGCTTTGCCTGGAGGAAGGAACTTCTGTGCAAACTGTTTGTGTTCAATAGTGATTTTACCAAAGGCCATAGAAGATGAGAGAAATATGGACGCTAATAGATCCCTGGGCCCTACCCTGAGATGAGAATCTTGTTACTTTAGTCCTTGATATGAAGGTTTGATTGTGAGATGCTGTGATGTGTGCAGTAGCACCTCCCCCTGCTGGCCATTTTGTATAATGCAACAAAAGTAGAACCACCGTGGGATGATTCCAAAGCCAGGAACAAAGAAACCAAGGTTGAAATGTGCAAACGCTGTGAACTTTAATTTACCCCAGAGAGAGCCATGGCTCCTTTCACCATTTGCAAAATTATCCTGTAAAGTGATATTCCTGAGACTATCAGGAGGCTGATATTCTCGTGTCCTTCTGTGTCAACATCATACGCAGCAATGATTACACTACAATCTCTTCTGCCTGCTGTTGGTATTCTTTCTTTCTTTCTTTCTTTATTTATTTATTTTGATTTTTTTGAGACAGGGTTTCTCCGTAGCTTTTTGGTTCCTGTCCTGGAACTAGCTCTTGTAGACCAGGCTGGCCTCGAACTCACAGAGATCCGCCTGCCTCAGCCTCCCGAGTGCTGGGATTAAAGGCGTGCGCCACCACCGCCCGGCTGGTATTCTTTTTTTAAACCACAATGAACAGGATTTTCTTGTTGGTTGGACTGTATGTCATTCCAAAAGACATCACAAACATTTATGTCTGTCTTGCATGGATATAGAAAACAACACATATCAATCTTAATGGAAGTAAAAACATTTAAATTTAGCAATGTCTGGAAGATGACTCAGTATAAAAAGTATCTGCAGTGCAAGCAACTATGAGGACCTGAGATCAAATCCCCAGAACCCACATAAAAGCTAGCTCCTTAGTAGGAGCCTTCATAATCCCGGTGCTTCTACAAGGAGATGGACGAGAGAGACAGGAGAATCCCACGAGTTCCTGGGTCAAGCTATCTTTGCAAACACAGTGGAAAACAACAGAGACCCAGGTACAGGGATGCTCTTTATTAGACTCTCTGAGTAAAACTGGCAAGAACTAAAACCTCAACCTAGTACATATAGAGAGGTTAACCAGATTACATCTAGCAGATCCCCACACAACTGGCCATCCTTGTGCACCAAGCCAGTTTTACTCAGATATTCTAATGAAAGTGACTGGGGCTAATTTTAGGTGCTAATGCAGGCTTGGAAACCCAGCAAAGGGAGGCTGCTTTCTCCCACTTAAAATTCAAGCCTAGCTGACTGTCAGAGTGGTCAGGCGGTCAGTGGTAGCATGGAAATACCTGGAGCACGTGTCAATTTTAAAATTTACATTAAACAAGTAAATTTAGTGGGGCATGGTGGCACACACCTTTAATCCCAGCACTCTGGAGGCAGAGGCAGGTGGCTCTCTGTGAGTTCAAGGCCAGCCTAGTTTACAAAGAAAGTTCCAGGACAGCCAGGGCTGTTACACAGAGAAACTCTATTTTTTGATAATTTTTTCATATGAAATATATTTTGATTATATATTTCCCTGTCCCCAAATTCTTTTCAACTCTCTACCACCCAACTTCATGATTTTTTTTTCTCTCTCTCTCTGACACACAAAACAAAAACCAAAAGGACAAAAAAAAAGTCAAACTAAACCAACCAACCAACCAACCAAACAAACAAACAAACAAAGCATACAAAAACCCGGAGTCTGTTTTGTTTCAGCTCCTGGGCAGGAGGCCTGCCCTGGGGTGTGGTTCATTATAGAAAACTTGATTCTTTTCTCCTGACAGCTACCATTCACAAAAGGACTTTGTGTTCTCTTCCACTTCCAGGATTTTGCCTGTCTAGAATATAATTGCGATGGCCTTGCGCTTGTTTAGTCTCTTTGACCTGTGGGTCAGGCCTGTTGGATCTGAATGATGGTGTTTCCTGGATGTTCTCCACCATCTCTGGCTCTCACGATCTTTCTGTCTCCTCTTCCGTGTGGATCCCTTGAGGGAGGGGTTTGATGAAAGCTTCCCATTTAGGGCCGAGTACTCTAGGGTCTCTTACTGTCTGCATGTTGTCCAGTTGTGAATCTCTTTGTTAATAGCCATCTACTGCAAGAGGCAGCTTCTCTGACGAGGGTTGAGTGGTGCACTGATCTCTATGGTTATAGTATATGTCATTGAGAGTCATTTGATTGCCGTGTTCATTTAGTAGAATAGTACCAGTAGCTTTTCCCCTAACTCCTACGACTGATCTAGTCTCTGGCCCCATTACTACTGTCTGGTGTGGATTGTATCTCAGAGCGGGCCTTAAATTCAATTTAAAAACAAAGTGGTTGGTTATTCCTACAACCTTTGTACTTCAGTTGTATCTGTATGTCTTGTAGGTAGGTTGCTGTTGTAGGCTGGAGGGTTTATAGCTGGGTAATTTTAATCATTACTTTTCTCTTCCGGGAGTGCACAAAGTACCCTCAAGCACCACAAATGCTAGTCAGTAGGGAATAGCTTCTAGTTGGGGACCAGCTAGATTTCTCCATGTTTGCTGACTCTAGAAGGTTGCAGCAATAGGGCTTTTCTTTCAGCAACACAGCTTTACCTTCAGGTTGTAGGGAGTAACCGGTAAATAGCATTGCCAACAGCCTGTGATTTCTTTCTGTATGGTCCCCTTTAATGTGCCGTATTGTTAACGGTGTCCTCTGTTTTTCCCACAGTTGCAAATGAAGGAGGAGATAAGAATGCCCGTCCACTTGCCCGCTTCTCCCGTGAGTAAATCTCGCTTCACTCTTCCTGGGCTCCTTTAGAACGTGTTTACTTGAGGCCTTAGCTCACGTGACTCACCTCTATGAGTCTGTTAGGTGTGCTCGAACAGCGATGTAGAAAATGTCTTCCTGTTGGTTAATATTGCACTTGGGCCCCATCGCACGTGAGCTGCTCCTGGTCATGGGCTTTTTGGTCCTTGGAACTGTGGGCTCTAAGCTGTGCTCGAGAGTTTTGCTTTTTGGAGCTTAGTTTCCAGAGCAACAGAATGAATCTCACGCTTGCTTTTGAGGAAGGTAGAGCTCCTAGGCTCCCAAACCTCCTCACCCAGGGCCTGCATTTTAACAAATCTCCAGTTGTTTCTTGTTCACAGTATAGTTTGAGAGGGGCTGTATAAGGCATATCCTCAGAGCACACTGCAGGGAGGAGGGTGTTCAGTGGTGCTGGAGGGAGGATGCTGGTAGCTACGATGTCTATCCATGTGTAAAGAAGGATCATTGCATCTCACCGCGGATCTATGCACTTACATCACTGTCTTGGAGACGCTTTGCAGTTCAGATGGATTGGATGGCTTTCCCTAGGCTTAGGAATATTTTCAGGGTTGTAGCCAGGCTGTTGTTTCTCACCCTAATTTTCCAGGTCTTGATCTTGACAAGAAAATAGCCACCAAAGGCTTCTCAAAGGTTTCCAGGCCCATACGATCAGTAAATTCCATAGCAAGTTTGTGGATGCCCTGGAATTAAATGGGTTCCAGTGAAGTCATTGGAAATGCTGGAGCCAGAGAAGAGCTCAGCAGAGATGCAGAGATGCTTGCAAGCCTGTTCTCCTTCAAGTTGAGAAATGGAGATTCCCCTGACCCCAATACTATTATTGCTTTACTTGCTTTTCCTTAATTTTACTTATGCTTTTCTGGGCCCTGTATTTCCATCTGAAAAATGGAATTAATAACTTTTATAAAATTGTTAACATTGCATCCCATCATTGCTTTACCCTACGTGGGATTGGCAAGATCTGAGTGTGACATGGTCAAGGTGATCTTAACACAAGTTAAGTATGATTTTTCTATTTCTAGGGATTCCTCTAAATGCTGCCTTCTCACTCTTTTCAGAAAGTTTCCAAATTTTAGGGTTGATTTCCCAGAGACAGCTTCTATAGGACTGTAATGAGCATGCTGATGAAGGAGCACTGAGCATGCTGATGAGGGAGCACTGAGTGCTTGCAGTGTATACTCTGCAATGAATACTCCTCACGGGCCCTGTTTTCCACTGTCCTTCCACCTGGAACTATTATTTCCAAAATAAGTTTGTCAGTGAGGATGATGGATATGGCTTCGTCCCTTTTTATTTTTTAAAAAAATTATTTATTTATTTTTATTAAAGATTTCTGCCTCCTCCCCGCCACTGCCTCCCATTTCCCTCCCCCTCCCCCAATCAAGTCCCCCTCCCTCATCAGCCCAAAGAGCAATCAGGGTTCCCTGCCCTGTGGAAAGTCCAAGGACCACCCACCTCCATCCAGGTCTAGTAAGGTGAGCATCCAAACTGCCTAGGCTCCCACAAAGCCAGAACGTGCAGTAGGATCAAAACCCCATTGCCATTGTTCTTGAGTTCTCAGTAGTCCTCATTGTCTGCTATGTTCAGCGAGTCCTGTTTTATCCCAGGCTTTTTCAGACCCAGGCCAGCTGGCCTTGGTGAGTTCCCGAAAGAACATCCCCATTGTCTCAGTGTGTGGGTGCACCCCTCGCGGTCCTGAGTTCCTTGCTCGTGCTCTCTCTCCTTCTGCTCCTGATTTGGACCTTGAGATTTCTGTCCGGTGCTCCAATGTGGGCAGAGACCCTTTTTTTTTAAAAAAAAATTTATTTATTTACTTATTATGTATCCAATATTCTGTCTGCATGTATGCCTGCAGGCCAGAGGAGGGCACCAGACCTCATTACAGATGGTTCTGAACCACCATGTGGTTGCCGGGAATTGAACTCAGGACCTTTGGAAGAGCAGGCAATGCTCTTAACCGCTGAGCCATCTCTCCAGCTCCATCCTTCTTATTTTTAGTTTTCATCTCTTGAGCAGCAGTCAGGGGGATGAATAATCTGGAGTGGAAACTGATCATACCACGTGCAGGATTTCCCTCGATGGGAACTCCTGACACATGCCAGGTGTGCGAAGAGAAAGGGTCCTTAAGCTATGAGGACAGGAGGCTTGGAGCAGTAAGTCCCTTTATGGACGGAAAAGGTAACTTCTTGTAGGTAGCTTCTATAAGTTCTAAGCTATGTGATTGATTTGAAAGGATGACATGTCACGTGACAGCTTATTAGCTAGAGATAAATGAGGACACCAGGGGTGAAGTCTATACAGGAAAAGTGGTTCCCAGTAATCCTTCGAGGTGAGGCTAACACAAAGCAGGAGAGGAAAGTGTCTTGATAGAGTACAGTATCCTGGGAGAAAGCCCGAGGGTATCGTAGGTGCTGTCTCTTTTTGTAGCATGTACTAGAGAGAGGGGAATTAGGTGGAATTCAGAAAGGGAAGAATATTCTCATTGTGCCATTGTTGAGTTGCGCCCCTTTCCGTGTATCATGCTGGAAGGATGGTGGGATGAAGCATTCGGCGTGGAAAGAGGGCGAGAACCCAGATGGTACTCTGGAGATGGGAAGATAAAGAACTGGCTTCTTTCTGTCTTTTGTTTTTAACAAGACAGAGATAGGTGGAGAGCCCAACTAGGGTGGGTTATTCAGTGAGGCAAGCAGGAGCCTGTGCTCTGAGGTCTGGACCCAATGGGGAGGAAGGGAGCACCAGGGCAAAGAGTGGGTCCTATTTTCCCTTTGTTTTAACCTCTAGCTTTGACTTTTGACCTGCCAGGCTTCAATCAGAGCATCTACACAATAACCGTGGGCAGATGGTAGTGCTGATGTCATCACTTGAAAATGGCACCTGTTGTGAGGGTAGCCATGCTGAGACTAGAGCCCTATCACCACCATCCCGGCCCTTCGCTCCTGTGTATGGAGGGGTCAGAAGGGCTGATGTGGAAAGAAAGTGATTCCTAATCTTGAAAAAGAAAAGTTATTTTCCATGTCAGGGAATAACGGCCATGTGTAGTGTTCAGGTCCGGCCACAGTGTGGCAGAACAAGCTCAGACTGTGATGTACTCCTCACTCCTGAAGCCCCAAGACACTGCAGGCTGCTTTGGGCTAGTACTGGGAAGGAGGTCCAGGGCACTCAAGAGACATGGAGAGGACACAGTGGTCCCAAAGTTTACATAGTCACACAGCTTTCTTCTGAAGTTCTCATTGCTTCTCTAGAAGATGGGAAATGAGTTCTCCCTGATAGGAGCAATCATTGAAAGAAAATGGTAGTTTTTAGACTGGAGAGATGAGTTAGTGTTTAAGAAGGCACTGGTTGTCCCTCATTTCCAGAACCCACGTGTTGGCTCAGACCTGTCATAACCCTAGTCCCAGGGGTCCTTATGCCCTCTTCTGGCTGCGCGCGCGCGCGCGCGCACGCACACACACACACACACACACACACACACACACACACACACACACTCACTCATAAACACACACACATATACACACACAGGCAAAACACCTTAACACATAAAATAAAAATTAAAAGAAAATAAGGGTTTCTGAAGCAGCAGGAGAAATTGAAGGTGATTAGTAATGCCTTTAGATTTGGCACATCTTATTTGGGAGGGTAAAAAATAAATACTGATGGTATCATGTTTTAATGCCCACATAATGAAAGAATTTGGGTTATGCAGTATGGGGAACTGGATTTGAAACTTCCTAAATTGGACTTTTAAAAAATGGCAGATTCTGTTTTTCAAGTGTTTGCATCCTTCCCATCCCACGTGTTCTTTTTAGAGTGTGAGACTGATAAACCTCACACTGAGACCTAAGCCTGCATCTTCTCCTATAAATGTAGCAGAAATAATATGATATGTCTTGGTAAATTATATCATCAAAGACAATGTGGCTTTCACCGTCTGCAAGCTGGGATGTACTAGGGCATTGTCATCTTGCTGTGAGCAGTGGGAAAGAGGAAGTCTAGTGAGATAGGGAATGTTTGAGAAAATAACTCTCTATTCTAGATAATAACACACACACACACACACACACACACACACACACACACAGTGCTCTCATGCCAACTCATGCCAAAAATTGCTGAGTGGAAAACCTGGATGCTCAGCCTCACAAAGCTGCAATAGGTGGGACCTCAGGAAAGATCAGATGGGGAGCTATGGCTTTCCTCTGCGTTCTAGTTCTGTCGGCCAGGAGCTGAGCATCCCTCTGCCCTCCTGCTGGGTGCCATCAGGGGGTCCTGGTGGAGAGCTACCACATTGTTGCCTAGTCACCTTGATGTCATCCTTACCAGTGTTTCAGAAGAGACCACACATGACAAGGAATTTTACCTCTCTCTCCCTTTCCTGGGTATTAATTGGAGTGGCAGCCTGGTGGGGGACCTTGGACTTGCACATTCGCTTTGCAGTAACAAGGTAGAATCCCATCTTTCTCTGCTTGTGTGTCAGAGTAAGACCAATGAAATCCATGCCAAGGCACATTCAATCTTCTAAAAAAAATTCAAGAGGAGTCTTGAAAGCAGCCAGAGAAAACAGACAACGGACTGGCAGAGGGAAAGCAATTTGAATTATGGCAGATTCCTCACCAGACGCCTTAGCAACACAATGTTTTCAGGTGTTAAAAGAAAAGAACTGACACCCCAGAAACCTGCAACCATCTGGCTGTTCCTGAGGAATGAAGCAACAATTGACACATTATAAGATGAAGGAAAAACTCAGACTGAAGGAAGGCTAAAGGAAGTTCCTGAACAAAAGGAAACTTGAAATGGAGAGCCTTGCAAGACCAGGAAGGGAAGAACAGCAGATACCATCTACAAGTAAATGAAGTTTCATCTCTGAGTTTTCTAAATTACTTATGGTATTCAAAGACAAATCACAAAATTACCTGATATGTTGCTAAGTGTACATAAAGCAAATACCATAATTA